AGTATTATATGTAATTCCACGTACTTTTGAGATCGGTTTTTTAGTACTCTGTACTGCGATTATTAAATAAACTTAAATGCTACAGAATACACTTTGAATCATATTTGTGGGGAATCTAGATTCATGTCGTCTTTTCATACTTTTTATCTAACACGTAGTCTTCAATTCTGTAATATGACTTTTCAAATATTTAATGTAAGTTTTAAACTTAGAATATGGTAAATTTAATATTATGCTCTGGAATATTATTCTAAAAATATATTTGAACTATTCTTCTTATCAGAAAAACCTAGTAAGTTTTTAAACCTCGTCTTTATTCCGAAGGCAAAATACTATAAAAAAATTAAAATACGCCCACGTGTCTATGTCAAACTTAGTTGATGTATTATGGTATCCGTATCCACCCACGTTGCGATAGTCGCACCATTGTGATCGGTTCTCACATGAAATAAAAAATATTACTTCGCGTCACCGTTTCGTAGAAAGACAAGTAATAATATTTCTCATACTATTTTCCCATACTCTAACCCCGTTCTACTATAACTCGTTTACGATGATCTCAAAATTTAAACAAATTTGTTCCTTTGATAAAAAACCAACCTCAAAAGTTCGTGGGATTACATCTATTTGCCAAGTTTAATTGATGTCGGTTACCGGAAAGTGCGCGAAATCGGATTCATCCCCTAGTTTGCCACCCTTAGAGTTGGAATATTTTCTTTAAATTTAAACGGGACACTACTGAACTACCCTCTTTCCAACAAAAAAATAACCATCGAAATCTGTTCACAAATGAGTTATCGCGAAACAAACATACAAAAAAAAACAGTCGGATTGAGAACCTCCTTTTTTTTTAAAGTCAGTTTTCATGTAAAATAGATCAACATTTGACTACAATGTAGCCGGCGATGTTTGTCTAGTAAATACTTATTCATTCTAGCCTTGATTTCTATTCCATATTCTAGCAATAGAACATGTCTATCTAGTTCGGAACATACATTATTATCAGATAAATATTCATTATTGTAAAATATCATGTCTTGAGGTAATTAAATTATTTCTCCTACAAACACGCTGATGGGGTAAACACGTAATCAGCTATTTTTTGTTTGAACTCAAGAGCAATCTAAATTTTATGTTATTAATCATATAACAATACCTTTAATCGATCAAGTTGTTGTGGTAACAAAGTACTATTGGACAGAATATTAAATATGTATTAAGAATTCTTAACACATAGTCCTGTTGTGAATAAAACATGTTACAAGTCGCGGAGGTCAGCAACAAAACACTTAAATTGATAAGATATACTTCGGGGAAAAATGAACGCAAAAACCAAACTAAATAATTATAACTTTTTTATTTTTAAAAAACCGACTTCAAAAGTTAGTGAAATTACATGTCAAGTTTTATTGAAATCGGTTAACGGATAGTGAGTGAAATTCGATAAACCGCATTCATCCCCTAATTTTGCCACCCTTAGAGGAATATTCAAGGTTGACAGGAAATACTACTAAGATACCCTTTCAATCGAAATCGGTTCACAAATGTCAGAGCAATCGTGTAAAAAAAAAAATACAGTCGACTTAAGAAACTCCGACTTTTTTAAAGTCAGTTAAAAATTTTGCTATGTTAAAAATGCCATAATAAAATTTTTGAGTCGACTGATCGAAAGGACACGAAAATTTAACTCCGTTACATTTTTGATGAAGATTGGCTTTTACGCTCTCTGTCCCCAAAGTATCGAATTATGGTAAGTGAAAATATAAGGCAGCGGGTTCAGGTGGCGTAAAACCGCTCTGTTTGTGTCAAACAACGAGCTGTTTAATCAGCTAAACAAAAGCATTCGAAGCAATCTGTTGGAGCTTCCTAGGCGTACTCCGTAAGCCTCAAAGAGGTCACAACTATAAGCTGTAAACTGGCACTGCCACTGCGCTCGTCACCCTGAGCCATAAGTTTATAACTCCCATGTGCCTGTAGACGGGTTTGCATGCCCTACTTCTGTACCGTGCTTGTTTTATTATAGTCGCTGTCATGCGTCGTTAATTGTTAAATATGTAGATGTCAATTGCGGTCAACGTTTCGGCGGTTTCGTAATATATTAACAAATGTATTTAAATCAGGTGAAAAGTATTCTAGCGGCGATTAGTAGTAATAATAAAACTGTCTCCGTGGCCGAACGGTTGCTGTGATGGTCTTCCACGAAGAAGTTCCGGGTTCGATTCCCGGGTCGGGAGAAATATTTGTATGGTATACATTAGTTTCTCTCGTAAGTTTAGGTGTATAGGATACAGGGTTTCTCTAGTGCGGGGCTATGAGTGTGTACGCGTTAATATATATCTATTTACAAATAGTAACACTTATTTTTACGTGTCTTAATGAGTAATTGTTTATTTCATTTGATAATTTGAAGTATTCATGTGTAACATATTCTCAGTCAGATCAAGAGCGATTTTAAAAAAAAAGGAGGATTTCAATTCTGCATTTTGTATGCATGTTACGTGATTACTTGGGCATTTGTGGACTGATTTTGATGATTGTTTTTTTGTTGGGAAGAGGGTGCCGCAGTATTGGTCCCATTTAAATCTGAAGAAAATATTCCACCTGTAAGGGTGGCAAACTAGGGGATGAATTCGGTTTCGCGCATTTTCCGTTAACCGATTTCAATGAAACTTGGCAAGTAGGTGTAATTCCAATAAAAAAGCTGATATGCAAACCTTAGAGGTCGGTTTTTTGTAATAAAAAAGTTATTTACATACGTTTGTTTGTCAATGACAACGTGATGAAACCTGCATTTCCAAGAAGGTTCACGATCCTTGATGTGTAGCGGACTTAAGCCTAAACCCTCTCATTGAAAAACCTGTGCTCGGTCATTACGCAATTCCACCAGAGAAAAGGTCATGGAGTAAAGTCCCTCGTCTGCCAGCGGTGCTAGGTCATCTATCAAAGACCGAACTACAGCGGCGCTGGTAGCGTAGCATGTCTCGCTTGATTGACGATAATGTCTTCATTAATTGTCGTTTCGATGTAGGCTTTAATTGCACACCAATTAAATTGGAAATTGATAGATGCGCTTGAGAGACTTGTGACATCTCCGACCTGCACGGAACTTTTGTGAGAATATTAAGTCTTAAGCAAATATAAAACAGACGAACGCTTGGCTATAATTTTACCTGATATTACGCGTTTGTCTAGATTTGTCTAGACGCGAGGCTAGATATTATAGGTCAGGTATGGAGGACTGCTTCACGCGTCCCACAATTAACGCGCTTTAAAGTCAATATTTATTTATTTATTTATTTATTTCATAAAATTACACAGTATAACAGTAAATTACTAAGGCACTGTGAAATTCATACAACATAAAATTATTTTGAGATCGTAGATGATAGTCGTTCATCCATCATCTCACAAAACTTCAAACATTCATCACGCACAGTTACGCAATATAAATAAATTAAGAACAGGCGGAGAAAATTTCGACACAGTTCCGACGTTGACAAGCGCCCCATGGCGACTGACGGGGCAGCGCGCGGAGCGGCGTGTCGTTAAACCGCTGGGCAATTTTCTAGTTTTGGGATAAATGTGAATACAGCTTCGGTTGAAAAAACCAAAATTTGTCTAGTCTAAGAATTTCTGTAACATTTAAATATATATATATTTATAGGCGGATTGCGTATTACATCGGTGTAATCGCACGCGTGTGTAAAGGTACACGATCAGCGACTGCATCGCGTTTGCATCGCTTCCAAACCTCGCCGTGTCTAACAGCTCTTAAATAATTAGTTTTAGACTTTTGTTTTTGTCTGTTTTCAGGCTTTTATATGATCGGATAAAGCAAATCCTATCGTGTAACGAATTAGCACGTTCTTTAGACCATATCCTTAGTTGTATCGTATATTTTTTGTAAAATACATAAACCATTAGAACCAGCAAAACAGATTTTCCCGCTCCTCCGGCTACTCGCCTTAATGGCTCTAAATTGTGGCTTCCGCGAAACATAGACACCGGCAGTGTATTCCATTTAGCGGAAGGCAAATCAATGACATAAGGTTGGAGTGTAGATACGGATTTCCTTGAAGACCGAAAGACACATACGCACACAGTCTTTGTAATGTAGCCGAGCGAAATTCGACAAGTGGACCATGTTTATGCGGTGTTTGGTCGAACTTGTATTAATGGTAAGGAAATCCTGAAGAAAACCTATACGTCGGCGAAGGTACACTAAATTCGGAGGCCTTCACTTATAGTTCGCTTATAAACAGTTAATCGTGCTGTTCTATGTGTGACAATTTCATTAAAATATACAAGCCGCGACACTTTATACTGCACGACTATCTGTCATCACGACATAATGGGAACGCGCCTTTATCGAATGCTCGTATCGGCGGGGTCGTGGCCAGATAAATACTCCGTGTAATAGGTTAATTATATCTGTCGGTGTCTACCTGTCTCTCCCTGAGGTTGATGAGTGCACAAACGAAAGCTTCGTCATACGTTAGTTAGAGAGAGGCGAATTTACATAACGAAATAACCGCAGGTGAATTTTCGGGCGCGCGAGCAATGTCTTTGGGGTCTACTATCTTTCTCAGTCCTACATCCGTCCGAAACAATTAACTGTCAAATACGTAATACTCGATCGAATTAAGAGACGCATGATGCAAATGAAGTCGTCCAAATCTTTTTATTTGGACGAGTATAATTTGGTTGAAAGTAATTGTTTCGGACAGATATCGGACGGGGAATGAGGGGAAAATCGCCATAGCTATTAAATCTGACTACGACACCAGGCGCTCACTACGAGGAAAAAGGAACCTAAGCACGCGCTCAGCCGTGTGCAGTCGTGCGGAGCATAATTAAAAGACTTGTATGAACGCTTGTGCCGACGTCGGTACACTCGGTGTCGGTCGGTAGGCATTAAGTATGGTTAAACACGATCGCATCCAGACGAATCCGCGATAATAAGTTTGCTGACATCTAAAGACGTATATTTTGTTTCGCAGAGCTCCGAGCCTTACTTCCCATTCCTGGGCGCGCACGCCCCCCCAGCGGGCTACCGGTCAGAGGGCGACGAGGACGGCTGCGTGCGCTGCTGCTGCGTCTGCTACACCTTTCTGCGACAACAGTGGGAGCAATATGACAGGGAGAACAAACCGCACAGTCAGCGCTTCTATTGGATGAAGCGGCTTGATGGCAAGCCGTTCATTGGTAAGTAACACATGGTTTTCTAGTAATGGCCGAACAGAGACAATAATTTCACAATTTAAATAAATTTATTTATGTTAATCTTTGTTGCCTAATTAACAATAGTTGTGAGACTCGAAAAATATATCCGCCATCTTTTTTCCTTTTCCCTCCAAAAACTCACTATTCGCGCTCATTTAGAAAACATTCAAATAGTTTAATTTAAAAAAAAGTACATATTGATTAACAATATTTTTTTTTAAATATTGAGAAATAAAATATCGCATTGTTATTAATAATGTTGTAACTCAAAATATGAGGAATACGAGATTATACTATTTCAGAACATAAAATTTGATTCTCGACACGTCAATAAAACCGTCTTTAGAATGTTGTAAGAGACAATTAAAATATATCTACCTAACTCAAAATGAGACAAACTTTTTGTGAGATACTTCTTGACAAAATAGACCTTACTCAAAAAAAAAAATTGAATCAATTTTATCCCTTTATTTTTAAATATATTTGGCAAGTAGAAAATTGTTTAAACTTCAACCTGTACGTAAATTTTAATAATCTTTCGCGGAAAGTGAATAATTCGTTTTTCATCGATTCTGAAAAGATAATTTTTAAGTTAATATATAATATTGTAATTTACATTGCGACATAC